GCTTTGGTAGCCGATCCGTCGCCCACTCTACGTGATCCGGGATGGGGTTGTGACAACATATATATTAATCAAGCACTAGACACCCCAAGTCTTTAGGGTGAAGACCAAAATAATTGTAAATTTGTTATTGCAAATTACTTCATTGTAAATTTCACAGAGTATCATCCAAGTTATTCTTTATCCATCCTGCAAACAAGAAATAAGAAGATACAAAAAATATGTTCAAAAGGATGAAATGGACGATGATGTATTGCCATGAAATTCTCTATCAAAAATTAGTTTAGAAGCGGCTTTGTGTGACATTTTGCTATAAGAATCTACTCTAGGGGGGATGGAAAAAGTTAAGTATCAGTACATGCTGTTCCTTCTTCTTCCTAATACCATAGAGTATCAATTTTACACATCAACACAAAAACAATACAACCTTACAATTGGTCAAACCAATTAATACAAATATATAGTAGATTAGTGTTAGACACAAACATATTGTTCAAATGGTATAGCGTAAAGAAAATGTGTGATTTCTTCTCACATAGAAAGCGAGAGCAAGGGAGAGGGGGAGAGAGAGAGATTTACTGCTACGTTTGGAGGCTAGTATCTGCGCAGACATGACTAGTGGAAGGTGATGAGCCAAATCATGAACAAGCAGCATATGATAATGAAACCAGAGGCAGAAACATCTTTTTATGCCATGTACCTATATAATTTCATTCGTGCAAGCTGAAGGGCAAACATAAACTTAGGTATGCATGTTTGTGTACGCTATATCTTCCACCACATGAATTTGGTAAATTTTTAGGGAAACTCCTGAAGTTAACGCCTTGCACTATTGGGACTCAAGTACAGTTGTTGAAGCTGTTTGCTTTAATTTGTCAGGTGGAAGAATTGAAAGACTTACCTTTCTTCTTTTGGTTGCTTTACAAATTCTTCTTTTGGAAGTGGGAACATTACTTTACAAAAACTGTGAACTGCAGCTAGTTTGATTCATTGGAAAAGGAAAAATTCTTTTCTCACTGGCAGCCTCATGGAAGTGTCCCTCACATGATTTTTTATGGTGACATATTTGTTGAAATTCTTGATTTAATTGGTGTATTTTTAAAGAAAAAATGTCCCTCCTATTGTATCCATTTGAGTTCAACACTTATATAGTTAACTTTCTCTTTTAATCTTATCCCACATTGTTTATAATTTTTTTTCCACCTTATACACTATTGAGACTTGGCAAATTGTTGGAGAAGCACACTCATGCACGCGAGCCTAAGAGGATTAAGGAATGTTCGGAAATCGTCCCCAAAACCAATTTTGATATGGTGCGTCCCTCAATGAGGGATTGTCATCGAGAGCAAGAGTGCAAATCCCCGGATTTAGGCCTAATGGTGCAAGTTTGTTTTATCACATGGGAGATTATTTATTGGACTCGATCACATGATAATTGTGTTGCTTGGCCTCTTTCAATTAACTAGATGTTNACCCAGGTTACTCCCAAATCCTATTATCTCACATTAAAAATGTTATTTCTATGTAAATGATATATTAAGTATATATTAATGGGTAGGAAGTATGTAAATTAAATATAGAATAACGAAATGATGAAGTTAGGAATAGAGATTGATCGTTATATATTATTTTAGATTACATGGTGATTGCATTGTTGTTGAAAAAGAGGGTTTTGAATTGAATTTTGGGAATCAATGTGAGTAGNAAAAAGCAACTATTTTAAAATGACAATAAGGTTACCTATCACTTATATCTCTCAAGTCTCAACTCCAACAATACATGAAAATCTTCTACATTGGTTTTCCCATCCTTTTGTTGAAACGGATGAGTGAATTCCTAAGTTTCCAAGTAAGTAGTAAAGATAACCAAACAATAGATCGAGTAAAGTGTTCAAATAATATAGCCTTATTTTTAGAAGAGTAATACAATTTAAACGGAATTTATTGATGTAATTAAACAGTACAATATAAACTTGGTTTTTCNGGTGATGAAAGAGAAATTTCATATGCGTTGGGACTAAAACAACAGTTTTGGTATGCGTTGAAATCGTGTTTTATAAGACGTGAACTAGGTTATCAAGTCTAAATGGTAATGAGGTTGAAAGTATATCGAGTGTGATNGCCCAGGTTACTCCCAAATCCTATTATCTCACATTAAAAATGTTATTTCTATGTAAATGATATATTAAGTGTATATTAATGGGTAGGAAGTATGTAAATTAAATATAGAATAACGAAATGATGAAGTTAGGAATAGAGATTGATCGTTATATATTATTTTAGATTACATGGTGATTGCATTGTTGTTGAAAAAGAGGGTTTTGAATTGAATTTTGGGAATCAATGTGAGTAGTTTGAGAGGATTTTCTATATTAAACTTGTGTGTGCATGTGTGTGGATATTTCCTATGTATGATATATATGTTGATGTTTAAGGTTGCACTTAAATGTGTTGTATTTATGAACTATTATACATGTGAATTTTAAAAATTTGTGGGATGATTTTATATAATTACTTAAATATGCTTTGGTGATGAAAGAGAAATTTCATATGCGTTGGGACTAAAACAACAGTTTTGGTATGCGTTGAAATCGTGTTTTATAAGACGTGAACTAGGTTATCAAGTCTAAATGGTAATGAGGTTGAAAGTATATCGAGTGTGATTGGTATAGGGATGTGCACATAAGGGCAGGTTAATGGTAAGAAACATGAGATGACAATGTATTTAGGATTGAACATGTGTGTGAGTGTTTTACGTTATAAATATCTTTCTATTTATAAAGTTAATTATGAAAATGAGTTGGTGTTTTAGGTTATAAAAGTCTTATCATTTATAAAGTTATTTGTGATAATGATATCATTTTGTTTAAATGATTATGTGAGAGGGGTTGTGATACAATTTATTATACTTATTTATGTATCAAAGTTTATTTTTATATATAAAATGTAGAACTTATTTTCACACCTCATTACAAGTGGTTGCTATTCATGGGTCGTTGTACTCGTACACGCATTTAATATTTNTGTGATGAAAGAGAAATTTCATATGCGTTGGGACTAAAACAACAGTTTTGGTATGCGTTGAAATCGTGTTTTATAAGATGTGAACTAGGTTATCAAGTCTAAATGGTAATGAGGTTGAAAGTATATCGAGTGTGATTGGTATAGGGATGTGCACATAAGGGCAGGTTAATGGTAAGAAACATGAGATGACAATGTATTTAGGATTGAACATGTGTGTGAGTGTTTTACGTTATAAATATCTTTCTATTTATAAAGTTATTTATGAAAATGAGTTGGTGTTTTAGGTTATAAAAGTCTTTTCATTTATAAAGTTATTTGTGATAATGATATCATTTTGTTTAAATGATTATGTGAGAGAGGTTGTGATACAATTTATTATACTTATTTATGTATCAAAATTTATTTTTATATATAAAATGTAGAACTTATTTTCACACCTCATTACAAGTGGTTGCTATTCATGGGTCGTTGTACTCGTACACGCATTTAATATTTTTCAGGTGAGAATCAGAGTAAAGAGTAAGTCCACAGATAGACATGAGATTAGAAAATTCAAAAATTTATTTTATTGTAAATATTTTTTATAGTTTTGAAACAAATATTTAATTGTTTTGAGAATAATGTTGCTCATATTTAAAGTAGTGAATCTTATGGTTTGATTACGGTTTTACTTGGTTTAGTAATAATGTTTAGTGATGATTAGTTTATTTATTCTTGTATTCATTAGGTTAGTGGACTTGATTACTTTATTATTTGTTTTACGCTGTATTTTGTTTCTATTATGCACAAGGTTTGTTGGTTAAGGCTTTGGTAGCCGATCCGTCGCCCACTCTACGTGATCCGGGATGGGGTTGTGACAACATATATATTAATCAAGCACTAGACACCCCAAGTCTTTAGGGTGAAGACCAAAATAATTGTAAATTTGTTATTGCAAATTACTTCATTGTAAATTTCACAGAGTATCATCCAAGTTATTCTTTATCCATCCTGCAAACAAGAAATAAGAAGATACAAAAAATATGTTCAAAAGGATGAAATGGACGATGATGTATTGCCATGAAATTCTCTATCAAAAATTAGTTTAGAAGCGGCTTTGTGTGACATTTTGCTATAAGAATCTACTCTAGGGGGGATGGAAAAAGTTAAGTATCAGTACATGCTGTTCCTTCTTCTTCCTAATACCATAGAGTATCAATTTTACACATCAACACAAAAACAATACAACCTTACAATTGGTCAAACCAATTAATACAAATATATAGTAGATTAGTGTTAGACACAAACATATTGTTCAAATGGTATAGCGTAAAGAAAATGTGTGATTTCTTCTCACATAGAAAGCGAGAGCAAGGGAGAGGGGGAGAGAGAGAGAGATTTACTGCTACGTTTGGAGGCTAGTATCTGCGCAGACATGACTAGTGGAAGGTGATGAGCCAAATCATGAACAAGCAGCATATGATAATGAAACCAGAGGCAGAAACATCTTTTTATGCCATGTACCTATATAATTTCATTCGTGCAAGCTGAAGGGCAAACATAAACTTAGGTATGCATGTTTGTGTACGCTATATCTTCCACCACATGAATTTGGTAAATTTTTAGGGAAACTCCTGAAGTTAACNGGGATCTCCTCATCGCTCTCAATCGTCACATCAACCGGTTAGAATTCAATCAAGCCATCCAAGTCGCAGATGAAGGTCAATATCAACTTATACATGCAGACCTCGATTTTGAAGTATATGATTTGTTGTGGAATCTATTCTTGGATATCTGTAAATATATGTATTTTTCTGGTTGTAGTTGTGGCCATTGCGCCTGGTGATGAGGACGCGATTCAATGTAAAATCATTGCATTAGGCTCTTCATTCGCCTCCTTATCAAGCGTCCCATTAGCTTCCTTATCTGCCTCTTTCCTTCAGCTGGCACTTATCAGATCAGCATTGCATCATTTATATGCCTTCAGCTCAGTTGCCATTAATGGTTGACTCTGCTCTAGGTTTCAAGATTACTGCAGTCCTCAGCTCAGTGAATCCTCTCAGCTCATTCTTGCAGCAGCTTATATCCAAGCTCTGTCAAGCTCCAACTCACAGCTCAAGATCCACAGGCAACAATGCATCAGCTGGTCCATTGAATTAGGCAATCTGCTTCGCTTTTATTCTTACTTTTCTATTACTTGTAATAAGCATGCATTTTTGCCTTCTTTCATTTTATTTTAATAATTGGCATGTAATTAGATTACATTGAGGGGTAAGGTACATACGTCCCTCTTAGCAAGGTGTAATTTTAAATTTTAATTAATAAAATCTCCCTCGCACTGTCGAGGTTCCACCAAAAAAAAAGTTAAGGATGATAAGATTGATGAAGCTCTTTTGGCTATCAGCGAGTATTCGAGGAAGTTTTCGAATGATTTCAGCTTTTTCAAGGTAAATAAAGCTTAGAATTGCTTGGTCTATATATGCTAATTACAAAAATCACATTCAAGACAAACACAAAGAGATGGAAACACAAAGAGTCGGTGCATTTGATTGAATTTGGATTGCAACAAGTAATTTCATTCAGGCATGTCTGGTTATGTGACTTTTACACAATCTAAAATCCAAATTAATTTTGATGAAGTACCTATGATCAACTCTCAACCTCCCTCCCCCCCTCTCGATCGATCGACCTTGCATATCAATGGTGGCGCTTCCGACTGTCTGAGCACCGTGAATTTGGTTTATTGCATCGTTATCCTCCCATCACCTCTGTGTTTGTGTTGAATATTTTCCTTTGGATTTTTCTATTTTCACCTTCAGATTTTCTATTTTCGTTTTCAGATTTTCTATTTTTGTCCTCCCATTGATAATGCTCATTTCTGTCCCTTGGAATGGTGGATATCATGTCTAATTTATTAAATTCAAAGTTGATTATGCACTGTGGTTGTAGTTTTTTGTTGATTTTGAAATATTTGGTATTTGATTGATGGAATCTAAAATTTTCTCAATTAATTGTTTGATAAAATTTTTGCACAAGCAATACACTAGTGAAGTTGATGCGTTGGGATGTGGTTTCGTGCTTTGATTGATCAGGAAATTCAGGATCTCCAATGGATACTAATTCCTTCTATGTGGCGGGTGATTATAGAGAAGAAAGCCTAATTGGGATTTCCGTATTGGAATCCATTTCGTCCCGATGCTCCGTTCCTCTCATCTGGTAACATCGCAAAAGAATTTATCGCCAAACAGGTTTCTTCTTCTTTTTTCTTCTTTTCTTTTCTTTTCTTCTTATCTCTGTATGTGTGTGGTTAAGTGCATGACGTTTTGTGTTCTAATTTATCCCCCTTTTTTTTTTTTTTTGTGATTTACAAGTGGATACCTATCTGACAAACTCTTAGATGTTATTTTGCTTCCAATTCTATTTTTATACTTAATTCCTCTATATCGAGTATTTTTGCAATGCAAATCTTGTTAATGCTTAAACAGTTTTATACAACTCCGTAATATATGTTTGATGACATCTTGCATCTCTTTACCTTTTTTGTTTGACACCATGTCCATTTTGTTCATGAATGATAATCGGCTGATTCGATGCATGTTCATGGTGTTGCGAGCACAAGAATAGATGGCATCCAAATGTTCGACCACATTAGGGCTCAAATATAGGTGAAGCATACACAAGACTGTTATTTTCAGCAATGTTTTCAAGGGTGTGTAGCTCCATATTTTATCAATGTCATGGTGGTTAATGAAGATATTCTGCAGGAGGAAGTCTTAATGCAGGTAAATCTTGGAAGACTATTGACTTCTCTTTTATCAGATAGGTTAATTTGTAATGATGTTATTTTTTTCTCTATTTTGTTAAGGTGTTGGGTTTTGAGATTGGTACATCAAATATTGCCTTTATATTTGCCGAAGAGCTTCTCATTCAGTTGAAGTGAGTTTCTTTGCCAATACTAGGATCGCACTTTTCTTCATTAGAACAATCATTTTGTTAGAAATTGAGTGGGTATACAGGAGTATGCCTTCATTGGCTTTCGCTTTTACTGTGACATCATCTTAGGTATCATGTGGTTGCTGATTTTAAGTGATGATTCTTCTTGAATATTTACTGACAAGAGTGGCAGGAACACTTCATGCACTTTGATATACTAGCTTATGTTAATTTAGAGACATGATAACCAACCCACCCAAACCCCCTGTCTCTATTTTTTTGCTGACATATAGTCTATTAATGTATTGTTGTAAGCAGATATATCACACAAAATCCCCTTGTAGAATGGGCCATGAAACTGTTGTTGGGATTTTACACGATTTAAATTCACTAACAAATACACATAATTAAAGAACAAATCAAGAATATAAAGCAATAAGAAACAAGAAAGAACAAGACACAGATTTTACGTGGTTTGGCAATTTGCCTACGTCCACGAAGTTGCAGGGATTTCACTATTGAGAGAGTTGAATACAGAGAGCGGCTGTACAATCCACAATAAACCCTAATCACCAAAATAACAGGGTTTATATGTCCTACGCATTGAGCTGTATAACGGGCCCAAACCTTCGCTCCATAGACTAAGTCTTAGAAAATTTTTCATTAAAAACCACACAACATTACTTCGGGTCGGGTCATCATCCGGATCACATATACAAACTAGACTCCATTAAAAAAAACCAACAACTGCCCAACTCTGGAATTTTCTCTTTTTGATTTGCCCACTTCAAATACGGCTTGGATTACATGAGTGAAATTCCTGAGGCTTACGTGTTTCCTTTCTTATTGCAGCGCAGAGATGCAAGTGAATGATGCTTTTGGTAATAGACATGTCCATTATTGCTGGTAGCCTTGCATCTTTTTATCTTTAAGAACTACAGTTCCATTTGAGTATGCTACATATTTTAGGTTCACGCCGTATTTACGGAAAGAGTAATGCTAGACAGACTTAAAACAGACTTAAAATACAGACTTGATGATGTGGCTGCTGATGTGTACCAGTCATGTCATCCCAAAAANTTCTTGGACCGGACTGATTAAATGAAGAATTCAACCTGGAGGCAAATTGGTATGTATATCTCACCTCGTTGTACAACATCAAGCTGTCTATGTACGTATTTCCATTGACAGCAAGTTGAACAATTGCCTGAAATTTTTAGCACTACGTCAAAGCCCACTCTGATTTAGCTATGCACTCGTGTGAATATTAAATTAGTCTAATGGTAGTCGGATACAAGGTGGCAATCAGAAAAATAGTATATTAATACAATAGCAAAGGGGTTGTGGACATTACTTAGTGTTTAGTATATTAATACAGTTCAATTATTGTTTTACTTTGTTTTTGTTGTCTGTTAAATTTATGAATGTTCTTTTTAGGATTGAATTGCTTTAGATATAATTAATGCATTGTTGCAAAAATTCTTATGTCATATTTGTTTGATTGTTCATATGGTAGATAACTTCTTATTTGATCTATGTGATCTATGGTGGATTATTAATATGTTATACTCTTTGCTTCCTATTAATGTTGAGTAATTTTTGTTAGGTATAAATCAATGAAAGCTCTGAAAACAGCTTTGGAAGGCTCGCCTCCGAAGACTAAGGACAAAAAATCCAATAACCTTTCAAAAAATGAATATATAGTTGTGACTTGAGACTTTACAATGATTGTTGTGTAATTACTTTCTTTTGAGTGGGTATCATTGTGAAGTTGCAATGACAATTTGAAATTGTGATCATAACCTTTTTTGTTCATTTATATTCTTTGATGATGATGTGTTGTACACGTACAATTTAATGATACTAATATTAGAATTTTATTTTTGCGTGATTTAATTTGAAAATTATATATTTAAAAGTGAGTGTTTATTATGTTGTTTGTTTCCTTATTAAATTATTACAAGTATGTGAAATTGGGAAATATTCAACAAAAAATTCTTTCAAATATGTGAAAGTTTTTTTTTTCTATTAATTTCAATGTATTAACCGTGACAATAAGTTGTCACTAAAAGCATGATCTAAATTTTAGTGATGATTTTAGTTGTGGATAAAATGTATACTTTTAGTCGCGATTAATTGTTACCACTAAAAGTCAAATTTTTAGTGGTGACAAGGTACATTTTAGTAACACAATTACGGTTACTTGCTACAATAATTATTGTGGTTAAATATTTCATATTTAGTGATATTTTTCATGTTGCGGCTAAAAAATTTATTTTTAGTGACAACAAATTAAATGTTATAGATAAATGATTTAGTCACAAACATATAGTCGCAGTCTAGTGGCAATAATTTTTGCAGATAAATGACAAATTTCTTGTAGTGCCTCTTTTCCAACTTAGGGACAGATGCCATCATGTTCAAAAGTTTTCTCCCACTCCCGGGCGGCAGCTATGTTGCTTGAATGATGGTTTCCAACTGCAGGCACGCCAAGAAAAATAGCATTGGGCGGTGCTTGATATCCAGCGTTTATTGAAAACGCCAGCAAATTATATTAAATGACCTCAAGAAGCAGTTAAAGTAAATGATAAAAGGTGTCGTTCCCTAAATTCTTTCCCACACAATTCTTTAACCTAGCCTCATTTTACTATTTACTTCATCTTAAAGCTGTGCCGTTCAAATTTATTTATTAAACTAGTAATTGCTCGTGCTAAAGTCACTATGTAACACCAAAAAATATCACTATTTAATAAAAAAAAAATTTAGCAAAAAAATTTCTTTACTTTTCTTTAATTACATAATTTAAAATCAATATGGGTCCATTTTTTGTTTAAAAATTTCAACAGGATCTTAAAAAAATAGTAACCAATAAAACATTTTACAGGCTCAATAAAACAAAATAAAAATAAAAATTGAAATCTAGGTCCATTTTTTGTTTAAAAATTTCAACAGGATCTTAGTAACCAATAAAACATTTTATAGACTCAATAAAACAAAATAAAAATTGAACCTTTTATGGGTTATTTTTTTTGCCACAATTTATACCATCCAACAAAATTGACCCCCAAGAACAACAAAAGGATATTCTAGTGGCAGTTGTATCCTAGTAATAAAACACCACAACTAATACCGACCACCAAAATAAATACCACAACTTAGAGTCTCATCCCCATTTAATAATACCAGCGTCATAAAACTTATTATAATATTTAAACATAATTGGTTTCAAACACACTATTTAATTTCAATGAAGAACAAACCTTAAAAATTGTTGAGTCAGACTGATCATAAAAATTCAATTGAACTACACTCAAATTAGTGTTAATACTACTTAAGAATTTAATCTCAAATAGAAAGAGCCCTCCTAAACTACTTGAAACATAATTTGACTCAAAGTCATTATTTAGTTTCAATACAAACATACTTAGTTACAACATAAAATCACCAAAAATCTTCCGACAAATTTGATGAGGACATGAGTGGATCAATCAAAGACAACCTGTAAAATTGAAACCAAATTTGAACTCATTACCAAATAGTAGAAGGCACCATGAATTAAGAAAATATAGTAACAGACATGATGAATTTGACAAATTGAATGCATAAGATGCAATGAGTAAGAGAAATGGTAGTAGATCTGGTAAATTAAAAAAATAGAAGACACCATGAATCATACAAATTGAACACATTAGATACCATTAAGTTCTCTCAAAAATTTCAGCATGGGTTCTGTTCAAGCATAAAAAATCTTAGTGTGT